AGAGAAGTGGGGCTGCTAAGTAGTTTATCCAGTGCTCTGGCCTGGTTTCCCAGGTTCTTGCACACAATTATATATAAATGGATTACACCTAATGTAAGTTAATATTTGCTAATGTTTGTACTTTATCTGATAATACTTGTAGTTACCTGTGACTTCCAATAAATTATTGTTTCTGAGGTTACAAATCCATTGTAAATTTTATTACGGTATCTCTGGAATGGCTTCAGATGTTGTTCCAGAAAAACTGCTTTGTACTGATGATGGGGGCTATTCACCTCTTACAGAAGGGCCGTGACCTCCAGCTGGCAAGCTCTATGCAAGACTGTTCTGCTAGCATTGAATAAATGCAGAACAGCCAGACTCTTGGATCCCCTCCCTCACGGATTAAAAGGGAGAATTGTTTCAGAGGTTTTGTTGTGGTGTATCTACTTTGTTTTCTGCTCTTATTTTTTCTCAAAAGAGCCTTGTTCAGAAAAATTAGTATGATCACCAGCAGTTAGATCATAAACTGAATGGGGGGGATGTTAAGAGAATCAAGGCATGTGAACTGTAGCAGTGCCATTTTATTTTACTGTAGTTTTGTAACTGGTAGAGTGAGAGCTCTAGGGGTCTGGTCCAGTTCACAGAATCACAGAATGTTAGAGATTGGAAGGGACCTCGAAAGATCATCTAGTCCAATCCCCCTGCCGGAGCAGGACACCTAGATCAGATCACACAAGAACGCATCCAGGCGGTCTTTGAATGTCTCCAGAGAAGGAGACTCCACAACCTCTCTGGGCAGCCTGTTCCAGTGCTCTGTCACCCTCACTGTAAAGAAGTTTTTCCTCATACTCAAGCGGAACCTCCTATGTTCCAGCTTGAACCCATTGCCCCTTGTCCTATCACTGGATGTCACAGAGAAGAGCCTGGCTCCATCCTCCTGACACTCACCCTTCACGTATTTATAAACATTAATTAGGTCACCCCTCAGTCTCCTCTTTTCCAAGCTAAAGAGACCCAGCTCCCTCAGCCTTTCCTCATAAGGGAGATGCTCCATTCCCTTCATCATCTTTGTGGCTCTGCGCTGGACTCTCTCCAGCAGTTCCCTGTCCCTCTTGAACTGAGGGGCCCAGAACTGGACACAATATTCCAGATGCGGTCTCACCAGGGCAGAGTAGAGGGGGAGGAGAACCTCTCTTGACCTACTGACCAGTTCCCACTTAAACATATCTTCAGATAAACCTGTAACCAAATCAAAGCTTTCATCAGTGATTTATGGGTTACAGCTTGCCTGCACATTTTCGTATGGCATGTCTACCAAGTGCAGCAGAAGAGAGCTCAGCTGGAGTCTGGGAAGCCCTCTGAGTATACGAGCACCGTGGATCACGAGGCCCCTCAACAAGATTAGTTTACCCTGGTTATAGCCTTGAACCAAAGCATTAGTGAAGTCAGCTGCTGTCTTCTACATCTAGTGAAGGATGGCCACTGTCACTGTATGCTGTACAACATGGGATACCTTTATACTAGTAATAAAACAAGTAAAGCAGGTCCTGGTCTTTGGCCCTGAGGAGACACTGTAGATCCAGATTGTGATTTTTGGATTGTCATTTTTATCACTTTATGATCTAAGGTGCAATACCTCAGTCTAGATAGTGAGATGGCAGCCCCAGGGCAGCCCCCTCCAGAGGCCCTGCTGCCTCTTCCTGGTTCAGCTGGTCATGGAAGTGTCCAGGCCCACTCTGTGAACCAGGAGCTCAGCTGGCTGAGTCCTGCCAACGCTTGCAGATGATGGCAGACAAGTTCTTGAGTGAGCAGGTAAGCCTCTGTGGTCCTAATTTTTAGTGAAGAGAGACACCTATGTTCAGCTCTGAATACACACATGACAGATCAGGGAGAATGAGCCCAAACACCGCCTGCAGTAAGCATTTCTGTCAGCTGTTTTGGTGTTTTCTTATGTAGTACACTTCATAACTTCTCTTTAGAGACACACATTGCTCTCTGCTGTGGGGCTGCCACGGGGGCTAGCTGGAGAACACTATTTGTCATGTTTGAAATATCAGTGTTCTGCCAAGCTCATGCCCAAGTGAGAGGTTCCCAACACTGAGACCTTGGCCATTGTAGTGCAAAGCACTGAAAGCTGGGCCACATTCCAGAGGCAGCTGCACATCTTTGGGGGTGTAGGGGAAGAGTCTTTTTGACATAGACCAAGGATTGTATTTTACCAGCCTCTGTGCAACTGCTAAGACAAGATTCAGGTTTCTGGTACATCAGCTTTGCTTGAACTCCCAATTATTTGTTTAAATTTATTTGGGGTACAATGCATTTTTACATGCAGCACCTTTTATAGCTGCTTTTCAAATAGCCTTCTTCAAGGTCATGTACCTTTGTAAAATCATCTAACAAGAGATTAGTGGGTGCCTTTAACAAGTAGTTTTTGTCCAACAGTTACTGAAGATTGCTAACCTGTGCAGCTGTTTTAGACAGTGTAGTGCAAGCATTTCAGTGCCTCTTTATCCTCAGCAGTCACTGAAGCAGAAGACAAGAGGGAGGCATACATGCTTCCAGCCCCATGCAAGCACACGCTTCGTGTGATTACCTGGAAACAGCTGCTGCCTTTACATTGAAATTCTTGCAGAGAGTGTACCCTGTGATTTTCTAAGTCTGACGTCTTTTTTTTTCTTCTCAGGGGACAACAGAGCAGTAGTCAGGTGCAGGAGCCCAACAAGTGTTTTTACAGTGCCAGATGGATCAAAGCAACAGGTATGAAACGCAAGGTTGTCTTATGCAGTGATGGCTGTCAGGCTGGGCTCAGAAGGTGGGCAAGCTGGATACTAGCATGCCCTGCTTGTGCTCCACCATTTTGAGAACAAAGGTTAATCCACTGCTTCTCTGAAGACTTCTTTTGCCATGACTTTCCTCTCAGTGATCCTGTTTTTTGCAGTCACTTTCACCAAGTGACAGTGATCAGCTGTGGAAAGGAGCTGTGAATTTTATTTTCCTCCAAGTTACACATTGTACACCCTGTAGCTTAGCTGTCTGCCAAAGGGATGCTTCTGCATCACCCTGCAGTGGTACAACTGGGTGACCACATCTTACGCAGAACCATAGACCTGCAGCAGCCGTTTCCTCAGGAGGAGAGCCTGCAGTCTGAAACCAGACCCTGCACCCCTCACTGTCTACACAACTGATCTGGGAAGTACTGGTACCACTTAATGCTTTTTGCGCTGAGAGAAATGTTTGTTGCAAAAGATTTGTCCACCTTAAAGTGATGCTGCTTTAAGCTTTAATAAAATAGTTACTTAAAATTCTGTAAATAATACTTGATTTGATCCCCATCTACTCCTCCATTTAAATGTGTGCTCTGATTATTATAAACTGAATATACATGCCCTGTCTTAATCAACTGATGCGCCTTTACATCCAGAACAGAACCAGAAAACCTAAAATAAGAGCTCTAACTCTTGTATTCTTTAGCAGTGTTTTATTAAAAATAACTGACATGTACAAATAGAATCCACACAGTTACATTCCTGTGTTTGTTTTTTGCTGTAAGAGAAGTACATTCCAAACCCATGGTTTCCGTGGCTGGTCCTAAGCATCTCAAAACCCAGTCCCGAGCTCAAGTTGGCTATATCTGGTGTTACTTCTGTATTCTCACCAAGGCGATGTATGGACCGTTTCTGAAGTTTTTAGAAGGCATGTTTAAGATTTTTGGGACGTGGAAGTACTGCATTTGTCCAATGGCAATGACCACTGTAGCAGAGGCCTGAGAAGCCTGATGGGGCGGGTGCCGGCCTACACAGCACTGCAGAGTGCTGCGCAGAGACCCCGCACAGCGCCTGCACACGTTGCCCAGGGCTGCATCAAGACACTGGTTCAGAATGAAGTGCTGCATGTGAGATGAGCTCCAGGTGCACCTCTCCAGTAACATCATGCTGCTTTGTTCATCTCAGATGAGATGATCATTCTGTGATCATCGCTGCCTGCACAGGCTGAATTACTACAGCTATTCAGAGAGCTATTGCAGTAACTCCATTCCGAGTTGGTTTTGTAACTTTTAAAAATATGTATCACTTTCTCTAAGGCTACAGTTTTTTGGGCTGCAGTTTCCACTTCAAAATAAATAAATCTGCCGTTAAGTAGGTACGTGCAATACAAAGCAAAGTTTACTCCCAACCCACCAAGGGATAGAAACACTGAAGATTTTTGAACACTTTCCTTGAAAAAAGTAAAGAAGCTAAGCAAGCTGCTCTTGCTCTCCAACTCTTTTCAGGTATATTTCACCACTGATAGCAGAGGAAGGGCATGATTCTGTTTCTATTAGTGAGCAAATACTCAAACAATCCAACCTGCATAAACTATCAGGTTAATGCATTTATGTATTTAGCTGAGCAGCGGTAATTGCACCCCCAGGCTCTATGGGCTGTAGGGTCTTCCTGGTAACTTTGCCACAAGACTGCTCCAGGTGGAACATACAGAGGAAGAAATAATTTTTTCCAAAACCAAACCAGAACCCAACAAGATTCTTTAGAAAATACCCACAATCCCTTTCAGAGAAATAGAGAAATAATCTTAGTAAGATCAGCATGACTGTGTTCCTCTCTGATACATAAAAGCAGCACTCACGGTAACAGTGCAGATCACTGAACTCCAGTGGTCATAGACCCCGTGATAAAATGCACATACCCTGTCTGGTTACTGCAACCAGATCCCCTTTACAAGAAGCAGCCAATTTCCCTCTTCAGAGAGCTGGCAGTGAGAGGGTATGTAACCCAGAGGGAAAGCTGTATTTCAGCAGAGATACATAAAATAAAATACCCATTTGCTGCATTTCTGTTGTTCGCCGATTTTCAGTAAGCTAGGTGAGTCTAGGAGGCAAACTGGAAAAATGGGGTGGAGAAAAAAACAACTTAGCTGCAGCAGTCTGCTTGATTTTCTGGAACCAGCAATCCACTCTGTGTAGTCTCTACTCAGGAGTGACGCAGTGCAGGCTAACTGTGGTTTACAGCCAAGAGAGGCCTTCAAAAGGCAACAACTTTGGGTACTTTCACTTTTGGTTTTTGCAGCTTTGGTGTTTCTGTTATTTCTTCATAATCTGCACTCATTCCAATGGCCCATCGCCCAACTGTAACCTGATCTGTAGAGTGAGAGACAAGAGATTATGGAAAGGCTAAGCATGACCATTGTATCAAACTTTCACATTTGAGGAAGATTTGGCCTGTAAAGGCCTGTCATTGATTCATCAAGGACCTATCCGTTTAGTTCTAGCTCTAAAGCCAACTCCCCTTACACAACTTTTTTTTTTTTAAATTGTGTTTTGTAAACTCCCTTTCTTCCCCCACACAGATTGTCAATGTTCAGAAATCATTACTGTTTTTTCCTGTCAGACTGGCCAAAGAAACACTCAAAGAGTATGCAGGCGATACATTAACTCTCTCTTCAGTCCTAGTAACTCTTATGATGAAGATTTCAGAATATATCAAGCAAAAACTAAACTTAAAGAGGCACAATAGAGAAAAATTTACATTTCTTAGTTCACATCCCTGTATATAATCAACACCATCTTCGTGCTGTTCAAATGCTATTCAGACCAATTAACACTCCTTTCTTAGAGTATCACTGCTAACCAACCTGTATCTTTTCCAAATGGTAATCTAATTTTGAGAGCAACAAATCAAATCATACCAGGAATATCCCATGGATAAATCAGTGCTTATTTGGATTAACTTCTGTATATTAAAGCAGGCCAAATAAGACCCCGTGAAGAATGACAAGCTAGTGCCTAAACTTCTTTGCCAGCTACTAGCTACCTTCCTGTAGTCTATCTAGAAGTACTTTGCACGACACAAAGTGATTTCAAAGAATATTACAATTCTTGCCAATAATGTCACAGTTCCAATTAATTTGACCATTTTTAAACAGCAAGACTAGTTTTGAAACATCAGCAGGAGGACTAAGATTTCCCTTGGGAAACTGAACAGCAGCTGTCAGTCTTCACTATAGACATAAAATTTCTCAAAAAAAGGGAGAAAAAAATTCTAGTTCTGCTTCACGTATAATTTAAGGCCCTACTGCCAGAAAGCCGAGAGACCTGCTCTTTTTTCAGCTTGTCTGCACAAAGACAGCAGCATTACAAATTGGCATTTGCTAGTTCCTGTTAATTGTCATGTACATATGCACACTGGTATTTCACACCAGCTTCTGGCTCACAGGCCTGGCATATCTTTTGCAGTGCAGAGGTGGGACCACGCGAGTCTAATGACTGCACCCTCACGTAGGTTTCTTTCAGGCTTTCAACTCAGCAGTCATCTGAGTGGGCGCTGCCCAACAATCCGCTAAGGCTGATGAGCTTGGGAAAATTTTAGCATCTTTCAATGTCAAAAACTTCTGTCAGTTAAGACTCAATCTCACTTGTTCTAAACTAGCAAAGCAGCATACATCTAGGATGTTACATACGGTCTCGGATGCAACAATATCATATACTGTTGCACTCTAAGATCAGATTCAGAAAACTGCTGAAGTATAGGCCTCTATTGCCTCCATAATTTTTTACATAAATTCCACAGAAGTGGCATATTACTAACACAAAAGTTCTATAAACCATGCAAACGAGGCAGAAAAATGCACAAATGAGTCACAACTTCAGTAACAGAATCATTCTTCAGACCCTTGTTTGATGCTTTTGCCTTCCTTGGTGCTGTTTTTCCTATATAATGCAATTTTTCCACCCACAGAGAAGTAAGCAGCTTATTAGCTGGTGAATCCAGCTGGACAGATCTGTCTCTTCTTTCTCTCCTGTCTTGAATGACTTGAACACTTGCCGGCACATGCAGCTTTTACAAGCTGCCAGCACCATCACCCTGCAACTGACATTATATTTGGTTCCACCGCTTCACACACACACCAACAGAAGAAACCAGTTTTGTTCTATAACTGCTAAAGTCGTGAACAGCAGCATGAATACTGGCTAACAAATACACAATAGCTCATATTAGCTTCAGAAACCCACAAACTAGATTTCTTTTTGAATGGAAAGTTCTTCTGCAATGCAACTTCACGCTTCCTCCATAATGTAAGCACTCATTCCCAAAGGAAGGTCACCTTTGCTAGCTGCAAGATCTCTTCTCAAACTCTTTTTTCCTGATCAAAGCCAGGCAAAGCAGTAAATAAGCATTACTCAGCTGTGCACTCAAAACTCGAGTCTGTACACTCCCCTGCATCTCACCTGAGTTCTGTTTTTCCGGACAGTCTTTTCTGAAGTGCTCCACAGAGCCACAAAGTCTGCAGCTGCCACCTGTTAAGATAGAAAGTTGTCACTCATCTAGGAAAAAAAAAATCACCAAAAAACACCAAACACAAAACAAACCCCCAACACTGCTTTGCTTTTGTTTATTGATAAATCTTGTTCTAGTTTTCTGTGGTGACAACCTGTAAATAAGATAAGGAAATGTCCCTATGGACAGGTCTGCATTCCTAGGCACAGTAATACAACGTCATGGAGCAGATACACAGGCAGCTTTGGAAGCCTGCAAACAGTTTCCTCTGTCTCTCTGACAGACAGAGCGAGATGTCTGTAATCACACTGCTCTGTAAAGCATCCACACTACAGATCCCAGTCAACACACACTGAATATTTCTGATTTGTTTGATTTGAAGTGCTCTTTTTGAGAAACAAGTTGAATTCTGCTTCAGAACTCATATTCAAAGGATCTTTTGAAATTAATAGGAGCTCCTGAGAGACAGGTAATCCAACTGCAAGTCCTAAGATAGGAAATATAAATTCTACTCATAATCCAAACATCTGAAAAAGTAGTGATTTTTCTTCCAATTTAACTGTGCGGTAAGATCACCCTTCTGAGTTTGCCAGACCTCAAGTTTGTAATGGGAGACAGAATGTTATTTGTTAGTGCCACCAGAAAAATCAGGCAGAGTACAATCTGAGTTAAATCTTCAAACTTGTATCACCTTTCTCATTACAGTCACTTAAAACAAAAATGTTCTTTTTCTAGTGACAGTCCTTGTTTTGCGTGAACACCTCCCAAAGTCTTAAGCTGTAGCATGAGAGTATGTTTTTACCACATACTTTGGTATATGTACATTGAAATACACATTGACTACATACATACAGCCTATTATGATCTTGTTTCTTTGTGTGCCTCTTGAAATTGTAAGCACAAGCAAGTTCTTACACTTTGCCTCTCATCTCATTGTTCAACACCAAGCTTACAATTAAAACAGAAGTCCCTAGGTAATCAATATTAACACCGAATTCCCCAGAACTGATCTGCTTTTACCAAGAGTAAAATGTACTGAGAAATTCTTTTAGTTGGATTCCCATTCACTTACAATATTACTTTGTTCTGCCACAGTCAAGTATGGAAAATGTGTTTTGGTTTCAGTAAACCACTACACTCACCTTCGGCATACAATCCTTTGGGATTATCTGGACATGACCTTGATAGATGCCCCACCTCACCACAGATGAAACATTTTGCATATGGAAATGCCCCTGCAAAATCCCACAGAGTTTATGATCCACATAAAAATGTCTGTAAAGTCACAGACAACTGTGAACACACTATAATGACTATATTATACTATACCATTATACTATAAACACTACACTGTCTCTTATACTGTTAGGTTCATTGTTATAATAGTGTGTTCCTTTAAACAGATTAACCTATCTCCTCAGAACAGTTAAATTACTAAAACACAAAGCTTGTATTTCAGTAGTCAGAAAACTCACACCAAAGCATTTTGAAAAATACAAATTTCTGAGACGTACCAACTGCTGGATCTATTTTTGCTTTGCATTTGCTGATGTCATGTTCTGTGGATCCACACCGGTAACAGATTCCCGTACCCATATCCTGACTTTCCAGTACCGCAGGACAATCGGCAACACCATGGCCAGGTTCTCTACAGTGGAAACATACCTTTGAAAATAAAAATTAAGTTATACTCATTTTCATGGGCAGTTCACATAGCAAAACATAGCACTTATGGGTGACATTACTAAAAAATTCACTTACTCCTGTTATCTGATTATCACCTATCACCAACAGACTTTTACTACGTCACTACTTCTGTTGGCTGAAACCTTGAGGGTACTATTGGATAAATATCTCTAGCACTGAGATTTGAGGTTACTCTAACATAAAAAGATTCTGTGAATGGCAGTCAATGAGCTGAAAATCCCAGTTTAATAAGGCTTTCTGGCTTTTTAGAATGCAAACATATCAAGGGATTTTCTCCTCAGGGAAAAACAGGTAGACACAAGAGACACTGTACCCTGTCACAAAATAACTGTCAGTGGTCTGTGCCATTAAATTGTATTATTATCGGTATTTTTCTTCTTTCACCAACACCACACTGTACAGGGTACTCACTCACTGACAAGCAAGTGCCCTGGAGGAATGATATGTGACTTCGACTACAGGACAGTTCCCCAAGCTCTTTAAGTGCTACTGCAGTAAGTGCTAAAGTCAATACAAGCAATGTTGCACCACTCCTACAACTTACTCATGAAAAACTTAGATATCTCAGAATAATTAGTAATAGACTCTCTCTGCTATGTTCTCAGATTACATTCAGCACAAGTTTCTACTGAATGCGTAAGTTTATTCTGAGATAACTGCTTTGAGACAGTCTCATTACAATGTCTGCTTGAGATCTCACTCCAATTGTCAAGCAGAAAATACT